CTGTCTCCTCTCGATGTGGAGGAGCAGCGGGTCTACTCTGAGCCCCTCCCGAATGACCGAGCTTCTAACCCTATCTCTAAGGGAGAGCCCAGCCACTCTTCGGAGAAAACTCCTTTCGGCTGCTTGTATCCGCGATCTCGTTCTTTCGGTCACTACCCAAAGCTCATGACCATAGGTGAGGGTAGGAACGTAGATCGACTGGTAAATCAAGAGCTTTGCCTTCTGACTCAGCTCTCTCTTCACCGCGACAGACCGGTACAATGCCCGCATCACTGCAGATGCAGCACCAATCCGCCTATCGCTATCACGCTCCAGTTTTCCCTCACTCGTGAACAAGACCCCAAGATACTTAAACTCCTCCACTTGGGGCAGGACCTCATCCCTGACCCGGAGAAGGTATTCTACCCTTTTCTGACCATGGTCTCAGATTTAGAGGAGCTGATTCTCATCCCAGCTGCTTCACACTCGGCTGCGAACCGCTCCAGCGAAAGCTGAAGATCACGTTCTGATGAAGCCAACTGGACCACATCATCTGCAAAAATGCATAGACCTGATCCTCAGGCCACCAAAACGGATGCCCTCCACACCTTGGCTGCACCTAGAAATCATGTCCATAAAGGTTATGAACAGAATCGGTGACAAAGGGCAGCCTTGGCGGATTCCAACTTTCACTGGACTTTCCGACAGACCTTCCCCTCCAGAACCCCTGAATAGACCTTACCAGGAAGGCTCAGGAGTGTGATCCCCTTGTAGTTGGAACACACCCTGCGGCCCCCCTTTTTAAATAAGGGGACCACCATCCCGGTCTGCCAGTCCAGTGGGACAGCCCCCGATGTCCACGCGATATTGCAGAGCCGCGTCAGCCAACACAGCCCCACAACATCCAGAGCCTTAAGGAACTCCGGTCGGATCTCATCCACTCCAGGAGCCTTGCCACAGAGGAGCTTTTTAACCACCTCAGTGACCTCAGCACCAGAGTTTTGAGAGGCCAACCCAAAGTCCCCAGACTCTGCTTCCTCACTGGAAGACATGTTGATGGGATTGAGGAGGTCTTTAAAGTATTCTGCCCACCGATCCACAATGTCCTGAGTAGAAGTCAGCAGCACACTGTCCCCACTATAGATAGAGTTGGTAGCGTACTGCTTTACCTACTTGAGGGGTGGTGGACCAGAATCTCTTCGAAACCGTACGGAAGTCTTGCTCCATGGTCTCACCAAACTCCTCCCACACCCGGGTTTTTGCCTTGGTGACCACCCGAGCCGCATTCCGCTTGGACTGCCGGTACCCGTCAGCTGCCTCTGGAGTCCCACAGGCCAAAAAGACCTGATAGGACACTTTCTTCAGCTTGACAGCATCCCTAACCGTCGGTTTCCACCAGCGGGTTCGGGGGTTGCCACCACAACAGGCACTGACGATCCTGCGACCACAGCTCCAGTCGGCCGCCTCAACAATGGAGGCACGGAACAGGGTCCATTCAGACTCAATGTCCCCCGCCTCCCCTGGAACATTTTGGAAGTTCTGTCGGAGGTGGGAACTGAAGCTCCTTCTGACAGGAGACTCTGCCAGACGTTACCAGCAGACCCTCGCAATATGTTTGGGCCTGCCTGGTCTGACCGGCATCCTCCCCCACCATCTGAGCCAACTCACCACCAGGTAGTGGTCAGTTGACAGCTCCGCCCCTCTCGTCACCCGAGTGCCGAAGACTTGCAGCCGCAGGTCAGACGAAACAGCAACAAAGTCGATCATCAAGCTGCGGCCTAAGGTATCCTGGTGCCAAGAGAACATATGGACACCTTTATGTCTGAACATGATGTTCATTATGGACGATCCATGACTGGCACAGAAGTCCAATAACAAAACACCACTCGAATTCAGATCAGGGGGGCTGTTCCTCCGAACCACACCTCTCCAGGTCTCATTGTCATTGCCCACGTGAGCGTTAAAGTCCCCCAGCAGAACAAGGGAGTCACCGGAAGGAGCATTTTCCAGCACCCCCTCCAAGGTCTCCAAAAAGGGTGGGTAGTCTGAACTGTAGTTTGGTGCATAAGCACAGACCGGTCAGAACCCGTCCCCCCACACGTAGGCGGAGGGAGGCCACCCTCTCATTCACTGGGGCAAACCCCAACGTACAGGCACCAAGATGGGGGGCAACTAGTATGCCCACCCCTGCTCGGTGCCCCTCAGTGGGAGCAACTCCATAGTGGTAGAAAGTCCAACCCCTCTCAAGGAAACTGGTTCCAAAGCCAGAGCCATGCATTGAGGTGAGTCCGACTATATCTAGTCGGAACCTCTCAACCTCACACACTAACTCAGGCTCCTTCCCCACCAGAGAGGTGACATTCCATGTGCCAAGAGCCAGCTTCTGTAGCCGAGGATCAGACCGCCAAGGTCCCCGCCCTCGACTACCACCCGTCACACACTGCACCCGATCCCTTTGGCCCCTCCCACGAGTGGTGAGCCCATGGGAAGGGGGACCCACGTTTCCTCTTCGAGCTGTGCCCGGCTGGGCTCTATGGGTGAAAGCCCGGCCACCAGGCGCTCGCCAACATGCCCCACCTCCAGGCCTGGCTCCAGAGGGGAGTCCCGGTGACCCACATCTGGGCGAGGGAACATGGTTTCCTTTTTTATAATTCATCATAAGAGGTCTTCGATACCAGTATTGATGTATTTTCCATCCCTACCTTTAACTGATATACTGTTACAGTGATGTAATATTTTCTTTTCTTTAAAATAAAACACCCTACACCCTAAAATACCCCACAGTTTGTGGTTGGGAACCCAGGATGTGATAGAAAAGTTATTTCATTAAAACATGAGAGATACTTGAAGGCCAGAAGATCAATCATCATCACTATTGTTTCATTAGATACTACAGTCTGGGAATGTTGCAAGTATAAAAAAATGCCACACCAATCTGGAACCACAGGCATTTGCTGTTCCCCAATAACCAAGCACGCTTGTACGTTCTTGTCAAACACATCAGAAGGGCCTTTCTACAGAATTTGAGGCTGAGGACATTTGTAACAGAACTGTTACTTTATGGCCACAAGCGTTGCTTTATGATACAATTTAAAAATGACCTGATGCACGAAATAAAAGTCTAGTTATTTCCTTAAACACCAATGAATACATATAATTTGTATATTATTTACTCCACTTTTTATCCTGCTTTTATTTTGATAGGGGGTTAGCTAGTTTGCATTTTCAGGTATTGTGAAGTCAGAAAAAAATACACAAAGCAATTTTTATAGGTTACACACAATTATCTACTACAAAAGACATCTTTAAATTTATTTATTTATGTAGAGTATTTTTTATATTACCACAACAGTTATGAGCTTTCTCCTCTACAATGGTTTGCGACACAAAGCATTATGTGACATCCTGCTGGCCCAAGACCACAGGAGGATGCCTCCTCGATAAAAAAAGAACTTTAAACCTGCCATGATACATATTTAGGATTGGAACAGTACTTGGGCCAGAGTGGATGACGCTTCACAAATACGCGAGTACACAAGTTCAGACGAGTTTGCATATTGAGAAACGGCCATGTTACGGATCCTGGGCTCCCGCACCTTGAATGGCCCAGTCCTGCTCTCTCCATGTTGTTAAGGACCTTGGACAGGTCCTTCGTCAGGCTGGCCTCCACCTCTGCCCACCTTCGCTGTCCCGGCTGCATACCATTAACTAATGAGGACGGATGGTTTAAAAGGACTGCAGCTTCAGTTCTCGTGGAGAGATTCACAGCTTAACACCCTCTCTTTCTCTCCTCGGTTTTGATCTTTGTGACATACGGTTTAGATTTGGTGAAATTCGGTAAAGAACTTGGATAAGCGTGATAGTTAAGATAGATCGTTCCTTTTGTTTAACCTTCGAGTAATTATTAGTCGTTTTCGTTTAGTGGTCCCGTTTTGTCTGCCATAGTGCTTGAATTTCGGTTTGTTTTTTCCGCTTTAGAGCGCGCTTTAAGTTTTGTTAGTAGTAATATTTAGAATAGAAATAGCCGTCGAGATTTGTTTTAGTTAGTTAGTTCGGGCATTTTTCTTTTGTTTGTTAGTACCGATATTCTCGTGTTTTTTTTTCCCCTGAGACCATTTGTCTCAGGTGTTTTGAGTTTTCTCCGTCGCCTTCGTTAGTTATATCCGAATATATTTTGCGTTTTGTATTTTCCAGTCAAGGACTGAGTGATTGTGTTTGCCCTTGTTAATAAAAATACATTTTATTTACACTCCCCTCTTTCTCCGCACCAGTTGTTATGTTACCCCTCTACCACAACGCCTAAACAACCTCAGGGTTTGTAACAGGCCAACATTACACTGCACAGCATTAATAATTTTACAAACCAATGATGAACTCACCGAACTTTCTCAGATCTAACGGCTGCAGTTTAAAGATGTTCCCGACACGCATCAGATGAGAGTGACGGTTGTGTAGAAACCACCATTTGCACAAAACGACTAGCTTGTGCATGCCGAGACTTTAGCTCGTTCAAACTGGGCTCAGAAACTGACTGATGCTGATTAAAGTAGAGGGAGGGTCTAAACAAGCAACATCTGCAGATGAAAACCAGGTAGCTTCAGGCAGCTAATCGACCCAAACCGATTTTACCCAACAACTCAATCAGATTGCAATTTTTATCACTGGACTGGAAAAGAAAAAAAGACAAAAAGATAATAAATATAAGAAATTAAATTTTGCACATCAGGTGAACATGATTAGATTTAGAATTTGATTTGCATCTTTTTCATCGGTTGTCCTCAGTCTGGCCTCTTAAACATATATCACAGAGAGTTTGAAGGCCACTCAATAAGAATGTTTTTTTTTATATATATATTAAAACATTACCTATTACAATGAGCAGTTACAGGTTGGAAAAGACTCAGTTAAAAAGCTGGATTTGGTGACTGATCCAATTTTAATGAAATCCAAACACAAGCTTATTTATCAAGAACGTTTTCAATTTGTGAAAACCCTCAAGCTGTCTCTGCAAACACACTCACCTTGAGACGCAAGCGTATGGTGTTGCAGTCCCGCAGCGGATTCAGTTTCAGCGTCTCCCCCAGGTTGTTGCAGCTGGAGCTCTGCTTCTGTAGCTCACAGCAAACACACACTCCATCGCTGTCAAACTTGATCTGGGGGGGAGGAGGGGAGAACACACATCCGCACTCAAGCAGGCATACCACGCACACACACACACATGCATCAACGCACAGACACAAGGACACAAACGCACAGATCAGACTTTAACTCATTTCTTCTAGAAGACACAAGCGACGTGTGTATGCTTGGTTAAAAAGTAGATTTCACACATGTGAGATGCAGATGATACTATTCTGTGACCGTGAAAGCCTGGATCAGCGTACAGCAAGACAAAAGGACTTTCATGAGCTACTCTGTGAGGCCTGAGGTACAACACACCTCCACCGTGTGTCCCAGATTGAGAGAAAGCAGGACATGAACTCAACAAGTATGGGCTAATTACATTGGGGAGAGAAGATCAGGAACATTAATATTTCAGTCACGTGGTGGTGATGGGGGCGGGGGGCTCTCTGGGGAGCTGCACAAAGCAGTGAAGTCGGTATACTTCCCTGGTCCCACATGCATAAGGAGAAAAGCTGCTTAAAACATGAAAATGGTTGGTTAGAGGGTTGGGTGGCTGATGAACCACAAAGAGCTTCCTCACAGGTCCAAACTCCCTGCTGCTACAAAACCAGCTTAAAAGCACCAGCTAAGCATCTCATTA